AAAAAAAAAAAGCTATTTTTGAAAACCTAATTAGTATTTTAAATTTAAAAACTTTTAAATTCCTCTATGAAGTAACTACTAGTAGTGTGAACAATCAATGTTCACAATGCAAAATGTGCTATAGAAAACTGACCTGTTAGTGGCTGATACGTTTTCAAGCTCAAGAACCTTTTAGGACTTAGATCCTTTCAAAGGCAAGACAGGTAGGGGAGGCCCATGTCTGCTTCAATACTACACTGCAGCTACAAAGGGAACTTTCCAATAGGCTCAAAACATTTGAAACACAGACAAGCACCAAAGTAAGCACTTGCTTGAAAGTACAGTATTATAAAGGATTAAAAAAATAGACTGAGTAGGGGTGGCACCTATTACTCAGTGGGCAGGGCACCAGCCCCATATACGGAGGGTAGTGGGTTCAAACCTGGCCCCAGCCAAACTGCAACAAAAAAATAGCTGGGCATAGTGGCTGGTGCCTGTAGTCCCAGCTACTCAAGAAGCTGAGGCAAGGTAATCACCTAAGCCCAGGAGTTGGGAGTTTGCTGTGAGATGTGTGATACCACAGCACTCTACTGTGGGTGATAAAGTGAAACTCTGTCTCTGCAAAAAAAAAAAAAAAAAAAAAAAATAGGCTGAGTCTACCAGAGAAGGAAGGGATGGTTTACCTTCTAAGAATAGAAAAAAATTTATCTTCTTTAAAAATACATATTTTGGCCAGGCGAGGTGGCTCACGCCTGTAATCCTAGAACTCTGGGAGGTCCAGTGGGTGCACTGCTTAAGCTCATGAGTTTGAGACCAGCCTGAGCAAAAGTGGACCCCATCTCTACTAAAAATAGAAAAACTGAGACAAGAGGATCACTTGAGCCCAAGAGTTGGAGGTTTCTTGGAGCCATGATGCCACGGAACTCTACCCAAGGTGACAGCTTAAGCCTCTGTCTCAAAAAAAAAAAAAAAGTATTTGAATTAAGAACACAGAAGTGATATAGATAGTGATATTTCCAATAGTGATCAAGAACTAGAATCATATATTGCTTAAACTGTTTGGTTGTGTGGCATAGTGGAAAGAAGGTTTCAAAAAGCTTTTGAATCTAATAAAATTTGTTTTTAAGACCTGGCTCACTTCCTAACTATAAGATTTGGGTAAAATCACTGAAACACTCTAATAAGCCTTGCATGGTTGATGTGAAAACAAGATACATATGAAAGGCAAAGCATATAATTCATGCTCAAAAAAGAGCAGTTATGGCTCAGCACCCATAGCACAGTGGTTACGGTGCCAGCCACATACATTGAGGGTGGCTTACTCAAACCCAGCCTGGGCCAGCTAAACAACTGCAACAACAAAAAATAGCTGGGCGTTGTGGCAAGCGCCTGTAGTCTCAGCTATTTGGGAGGCTGAGGCAAGAGAATTGCTTAAGCCCAAGACTTTGAGGTTGCTGTGAGCTGTGAAGCCATGGCATTCTACCAAGGGCAACATAGTGAGACTCTGTCCTTTAAAAAAAAAAAAAAAGAGCAGTTATTACTATCAGCCATATTCATCACAGTGAAGGATAAAAAAAAACAAAAAACTAAAAACTGTTTATCCAACACTTACTGTAGGAAATCTCCTCCATCTCCTCAATCTACTTAAGCTGGCTTTCGTGCTCTCACGGCATCACACTCCACCTGCATAACGTTTCTCATAAAGCCTAACAGCCTATTTTTCTTTTTGTCTCTACACAAGAAGCACAAGGACAGCATTTATTTTGTCTAATTACTCACTATACCATTCCCAAAGCCTGGTACATAGTAAACAATATACGGTGTTTACTATGGATACAGGCTTCAAGTGGCAGGCAGACATGAGTTAAAATCCAGGTCTATCTCTAACTAGCCTTGTCTAACTACTCTGAGAAATATTAAGCTTTCTAAACCCATTTCCTCATCTGTGAAATGGAAATGGTCTTCTTATAGCTATTATTGGGAAGCTTAAAGGAAATAATAAATGTGTAGTTCACAGAATATTCCTGGGCACTCAATAAGTGCTAACTATGATTAAAAATAAATATTTGTTTAAGAAACATGTAAATGTTAAGGACAGACTAGATGAAAAATGCTGGCAAGTAGAGCACCCGCAGGTAAGAATGCTGACTAATGGATTAATGACCTAGAGTGAACAGTCTCTGCCTGTGAAGTATGACGCTCTCTATTACTGATTAACACATGGTTATTAGCCAAGTGCAGTGGCTCACACCTGTAATCCTAGCACCCTGGGAGGCTAAGGTGGGTGGATCACCTAAGCTTGGGAGTTTGAGATCCCATCTCACTAAAAATAGGAAAACTAGCCAGGTGTAGTGGCCGCACCTGTAGTCCTAGCTACTCTGGTGCCTGAGGAAAGGGGATTTCTTGAGCCCAAGAGTTTGAGCTAAGTTGCTGTGAGCTAGGGTGTTGTGGCATTTGTACCCAGGGTAACAGAGGGAGACTCTGTCTCAATAAAAAGGAAGAAACATCAGTGGCTTAGATAGAACCAGCAGGTTGATTTTCAATTTAAACATGAAAAAGCTAGCAGACTAGCTTTCAAACATTAAACAATGTAAAATTCAAACACTTAACTTGTATATTATACTGTGTATCAAACATTAAAATTCAGAAATATATGACAAGTTAAAATTTCTACACAAAAGCAAGCTTAGAAAAACCTCAAGAGGACTTCTGATTTCTGTTAACTATAGTCTATGTAAAAAAGACTATGAGTTGACATGGCAACTACAAGTTTATACAATCTTGAGGAAGGACAGTGTGAGGATTAAAAAGTAAGGACTGTAAGTATATATGTGGAAGAACATCTGGATTCTGGTGTTCATTTCCAAGGGTAGGAGACACACTGACATACTGGAATAAACTTAGGAGAAAATGATCAGGATAATGAAAATGTCTGCAAGGCATGGCACATGAAAACTGGCTGAACATCTAGAGCAGTGGTTCTCAACCTGTGGCTCGCAACCCCTTTGTAACAATGAAAATACATCTTGCATATCAGATATTTACATTATGATTCATAACAGTAGCAAAATTACAGTTATGAAGTAGCAATGAAAATAATTTTATGGTTGGGGGTTACCACAACATGAGAAACTGTATTAAAGGGTCGTGGCATTAGGAAGGTTGAGAATCACTGCTCTAGAGAATATAAAACATTAGAACTTTTCACGTAGGCTTCAAATGCTTGAAGTGTTGCCTTACGTAAAGAGAAAAGAATAAATACTTGTCAAATGCCTGCCTCTATGCCAAGTATTTTTCAATTCATTATTTAATCTTCATCACAATCCGTGAGGTAGTAGTATTATTTCAAAGTTATTAATAAAACAGAAGATAGAGAGGCCAAAGTGGGCAGATCATCTAAACTTAGGAGTTTGAGACCAGCCTGAGCTAGAGCAAGACCCCATCTCTAAAAACAGCTGGGCTGAGGCAAGAGAATCGTTTGAGCCCAAGAATTTGAAGTTGCTGTGAGCTGTGACGCCATAGCACTCTACTGAGGGTGACCAAGTGAGACTCTGTCTTAAAAAAAAAACAAAACAGAAAATAGAACACTGATCTGCTACAGAGTATAGAATAAAAATCAAAAAGTGGGAAAAATAATGCAAATGCCCATCAATAGCAAAGTGGATAAATGTGGAATGTTCACAGAATGAAGTATTAGACAGCAGAGAGAATAAAATATGAACTACAACTACACAGCAATGAAAAGGAATCTCATAAACATAACATAAACCAAAAAACCCAGACACAAAAGAGTTCATATCATATGATTCCATTTATGTAAAATTCAAAACAAAACTAATTCATGCAGTTAAAAGTCAGAATAGGGGTGGGGGAGAGTGGGGGGCTGAAAGAGGTCAACTGTGACAGTGATGGGATAAGAAGTGAGTGGGCTTCTAGGTAGAGTACTGCTTATACTTTGTGAAAATGTTATTAAAAATTTATAAACTTTCTATATATCTACTGTATTTTAATAAAAAGTTCATTTTAAAAATCAGTAAGCAATAGCTATAAGGAATATGATTTCAGATAAATGTGAAGTCAAAACTGTCAAAAATGAGTTAAGAAAAAAAATAGTAGCCTAATAACAAGAGTCACCACAGTTCTTCATACAACAGTAATGATGATCTAAATGTGATTCTTAAATTGGGTCAGAATAAGCAAGTTGTAGGATCAGGTGCGGTGGCTCAGCCTGTAATCCCAGCACTCTGGGAGGCTGAGGCAGTGGATTACCTGAGCTCACAGGTTCGAGACCAGCCTGAGCCAGAGTGAGACCCTGTCTCTAAAAAACAGCCAGGCGTTGTGGCAGGTGCCTGTTGTACCAGCTACTTAGGAGGCTGAAACAAAAAAATCACTTGAGCCCAAGAGTAAAGTCAGACCCTGTCTCAAAAAAAAAAAAAAAAAAAGGCAAGTTGTTCCCAACATATGGGCAAGTATGTAGGCTAAATCAGAATCAAGAGCACAGTGTCTACATAAAGGAGACCCTCCAAACCATCTGTGGAAGGAATGAAGATGGCATGCAAATTAATTAATTAATTCTTTCTTAGTACCATCCATAGAGATTCCGATTTAATCTATATGGAATGAGGCCTGAGAAACTTTTTAAAAAATATTTTGAAGTTCTCCAGGTTATCCTAATAGCAGCCAAATTGGGGAACAATGGTAAACAGGCTATCAAAATTATGCAATATTCCTGCCATCTGGCCTAACATATAGAATCTAGACCAAAAGGCAGGGGAAATCATCTCCTGTCAGACTTGCATCATGTTCTGGGGCTATAAAGTTATTAATCTAAAGGTGACAAGATATAAGAAATGTAAACTCAAATTTTTTAAAATCTTAAGGCTAAAAGCTGAATTTCCCCATAGTGATAATTCTGTTGCTTCATTTCTACAAATAATATATTTGTCCTCCACTAAAAGAATCCTGGTTTCACCCAGGTCATTCTTACTATTATCAGCCATGTAGTAAGGAAGAGAGAATACAGTCTGAGGCTACATATCATAAGAATTAATATCACAGGCACAGGAGTCAGTATTACTTCAATTCAAATCCAGTCTCTTAAAGCTGCTTGGTATTGGGCAAGTTAAAGAGTATCTCCAGGACTCAGCTTTCTCTATGTAGCCCTCATAGGGTTACAAGAATTATACGAGATAATGTCTACTGCCCATACAAGCCAGTGTCTATCATAATTTTACCGCTCAATAATTAATCACAGAAATAATTATCTACTTTTTCAAAAACTGAGATCTGTTTGAAGAAACAATAATATAATGAAAAAGGGAACCAAACAGAAACCCCAGAAGCCTGTGAGTTCCAGAGTTCCCTTACTTTACCCATTAAGACTATTCCTCTGCCCTGGATCATGTCCTACCTGCATCATTGAAGTCAAATTTGTCCTTTACCTTAACGTGTATGGTTAAATGTCCTTTACGTTAACATGTATGGTTAAAACATTAGGGAAACAAAAAACTTAAAAAAGAAACAAGTAACAATGCTTACCAACTATACATAAACAGATTTCATTTCCCAACATTTTCCGTAATTCTTTGACCCAGTTTTTTACCTGTGTGTACAAAAAAGCAAATATTAAAACAAATCCTGTTAAATTATTACTACTAAAAACCCAAAAATGCAACATTATCAAAATACCTCAGAACTTTGCCTAACAGCCCGTAATTTAGCTATTCCTAGGAGTAATCCACTAAAGGACCATCCGTCACCATGTTACACTGCAGACCACATACACACAAACACACGGAGTACAGGTGAAGGGTGTCTCGGTACCTACATGTGGGCACACACAGATGTACCTCTAAGTACAAATTTTCAACAATCTTCCATAGATCCTAGCAAAACTATTCAGCAGAGCAAAAGCATGTCAACTCCAGCCTCCGATAATAGATGTTTACATAGTATCACTTTGGACTCAGGAACAAAGGGGCTTAAAACAGTCTTTGTGTACTCAAAGTCTTTCCTAAACAGTAGGCATAGGAATTTCTGTGTGTCATACTAAAGTACATGGGTACCAAAAACAAGAGTGACAAAATAAATGTTCATTATTTAGTAGATGACAGGGTTTTTCAACCGTGGCAATACTGACACCATGGCTTACCTAATTCCTTGTTTGGAAGACTATCCTGTGTGATGTCTGATGCTCAGCAGCATCCCTGGCCTCCTACCCACTGGACGCAGGAGCACCCTCCAGTTGTGACACCCAACAACCTCCCCAGACCTGCCATCCCTAACAGAGAGCCACTGGGGCACCATGACTTCAGGCACAAATCGATGCTGCACTAGGAACGAAGCATGGCACTGGGAGAAGTTGGAAGTAAACTAGAATGACATATATTAATCTTTTAAGCTCATGATTTTAAGTATGTTTTTTTTGAGACAGTGCCTCAAGCTATCCCCCCGGGTAGAGTGCTGTGGCATCACAGCTCACAGCAACCTCCAACTCCTGGGCTCAAGCGAGTCTTCTGTCTCTGCCTCCCAAGTAGCTGGGACCACAGGCACCCACCACAACACTCGGCTATTTTTTGGTTGCAGCCGTCACTGTTGTTTGGCGGCCCGGGCTGGATTTGAACTCGCCAGCTCAAGTGTATGTGGTTGGCGCCATAGCCACTTGAGCCACAGGCGCCGAGCCGATTTTAAGTATGTTGATACAAGAAAATAACATGGAGGCCAGGCATAATGGCTCACGCCTATAATCCCAGCACTTGGGAGGCTCAGGTAAGTGGACTGCCTGAGCTCATAGGTTCCAGACCAGCCTGAGCCAGAGCGAGACCTTGTCTCTAAAAAATAGCCGGGTGTTGTGGTGGGTGCCTGTAGTCCCAGCTACTTGGGAAGCTAAGGCAAGAGGATCACTTGAAACCAAGAGTTTGAGGTTGCTGTGAGGTAAGATGCCACTGCACTCTACCAAGGGTGACCAAGTGAGATTCTGTCACAAGAAAAAAAAAGAAAGAAAAGAACATGATAAAAAAACCTGAGACATCTGCTTTCATATTTTGCAAGGGAACTCAATCTGCATGTAATCAAGTTATATACAACTGAACACGTATTCCTAAAAAAAAATACACACACACACACCCCTCTAAATTATAAAACTTACATTAAATATGTGAAGAGCACTTACTATGTCCTATGTACAAATATAACAGTTCCAGATTCCTATTCTCCGCAAGAATGCAGAGGAACTGTCTTTAGTAAACCTCAAATCCTTATAAAAACACTTTATAACAGCACTGAACCAGTTTTCTTAGTACAGCCCCATTTTTTTTGTTTCATTCACATATATGTATAAAGTTTTCAAAGCATTTAACTTCTACCCTCAACTGACTCCACCTAAGAAAAAGCTAACAGTACTGATATAATACATGCATCCTTATTGCCTCAAAAGAAACATGTCAGAATTCTATTCCCTGTACATGTAGAATCACAACCTACTAATCCAACCAATTTTTTAAAAAATTTGTTACTCATCTCCAATTAGGTATCCTTCCATAGCCATCTTATTCTTTACTCTCATACATTTTGTGGTAAAAGATGGTGACAAACGCTTTGTCAATCCTCCCATCACATGGGATTCCTGGCCTCCTACCCAGGAATCCTGGATGCAGGAGTGTAGGAGACGCCAACATCCGAGCAAGATGATCTGCAGCTGAGGCATGGACCTCGGGCGATTCCGCCACAGGAGTTCCTTGTGGGAGGAGCCCGTGCCCTCAGCACGTGGTCATTGTTAATTACTCCCCTCACCTGTATCATTCTCTTTCAATAAAAGGCTGGTGCTGAGGTTGTTCGGGGCTACCGGAAAGTAAGGGCTAGCCCGCCTTTCACAAGCTTGTACTTCTAATCCGCCTCTCGCCTGGTTCCTTCCTGCACTAACCGAGACCAGGGCCACAGGAGCCCGACGGGTCGCAACACAGGAGCACCCTCCAGTTGGGGTGGTTAAATATGAAACTGCAAAAGCACCCTCCAGTTTGAAATTGGACTGGTCTTGTAACCTGCTTTAGCCAAAAAACGTGGCAGAAGTAATGTGGTGCACATCCTGGACTGAAGCTCCAAGAAGTTCTGGTGGCTTCTACATTTAACTCTTGGGATCCAGATGTTATATAAAAAACTTAGGCCAGAACACAGAATTAGAGAACAAATGAAGTAAAGGAGTATAAGACACTAGAAGTAGTAAAGAGGCCACATGGAAGGGAACCAGGCCTTGTTAGACATTCCAGCCCAACCAAACTCCCAGTGTAAGCAGCTGCATGAGTGGCTCCCCTGACACCACTCAGAGCAGAGGTCCTGCTTGGGCAACCCACAAAATCACTGTTTTAAGCCACCAAGTTCTGTGGGATTTATTATATAACAACAGACAACTGACCACTTTCCAAACTAAATGACTTTAAATTTTCTTAATCAATAAAATACTTAAACTATTTCTTTTTAGGCAAAAAACCAAGAGGGGATAACAAATAGCACCAAACAGCAGCCTCAAAATTACTTTTAAATATCATTCTATCTGCAAAGTACCTACTGCTTCATTGTTTTACTCCTTGAACTAAGTTTTCCTGTGTATCATTAATAACCCCAAGGGCTGACTTGTATATCCATTCCATCAGATTTAAATAGGAGACAAAATTAAGAGAAAAACAAAACTAAACTAAAAAGTCAAGATCTTATACAAGAACAAATCTGTAACTCAAGAAAAGCTTCTACCTTGTAAATGATTTCCTTTGGTTATGCGTTGGTGACAAATTTATTCCACAAAAGGTTTTAGGAGGAAAGGTCAAATAAGTAACCCATTCTGATTGCAATAAGAACCCAAAGGTTAAGTTAAATGGTAACTCATTTTTGGTCCCGAACAATTTTGAAAAACCCTACTTTTGTGGTATATGCTTGAATAAGAGCAAAAAATGAAGGAACTCCACCATAAACATACAGGTTTTTTTGTAATTTATATTATATCCTTTAGGACAGTAGTTTTCAACCTTCCTAATGCCGTGACCCTTTAATACAGTTCCTCATGTTGTGGTAACCCCCAACCATAAAATTACTTTCGTTGCTACTTCATAACTGTAATTTTGCTACTGTTATGAATTATAATGTAAATATTTGATATGCAGGATGGTGTTAGGCTACCCCTATGAAAGGGTTGTTCAACCCCCAAAGGGGTCGCAACCCACAGGTTGAGAATTGCTGCTTTAGGATATTTAATTAGGAGAAAGAGCTTAAATTTGATTTTGCTCTTCCATTTTTCTGTTCCATAAAGGGAAACAAGTTCCCTGTGCGGCCACATTAATGGTACTCAATATGAACAGAATCAAAGAAATGTGTGTGATTTTTCTTTAACAGGGAGAAACAAAGCCCTATATTTCTCCAAAGCTTAACTCCCAACGATTTCCCTTTCTTAATACTTGAGAAACCCACAGAGTAAACCAATAGTTACTCTAACATGAACTAATATGAATTAAATACTGCACTGCAAAAATGAGTGGTCACAATTTATGCACAAACCAGACACTTTACTTTTAAAAACAAAACTAATCATATTAGCGAACAAATGTCTTGAAACTTGAAAAATCAGAATTGTTCTTCTAATTAAATAATCTACCCACAAAACAAACAGAATACCTTCTGAAAAGAATCTTCATCTGTTATATCATAAACTAAAATAGCTCCATTTGAATCTCTGTAGTAAATTGGACCCAATGCATGGAATCTCTCTTGACCTGCTGTATCCTAAATAAAATAATAAATACTTATTAGATTATAAGGAAAACATACATCTGCTATTGCAACTACAATGAACTTTCGATTAGCTGAAAAGTGGGACATAAAGTCACAGATAACCCCAAAACACAGTTAAAAGCAAAAAACAAGTTGGCTAAACATTTTTTTAAATCAAGTTATGACCAGTAACATTCTAGTGACGGCGTGTATACAAAGGCTACTTTCTCCCTCCCAACATCCTCTCTTTCTCAGCAACCTCCCCACTCCCACCCATGCCCACTAAAAAAACCAGTTCAATTGCCAGAGGGCCAGAATGGCCAATATTACTGTAAGCCAGAAACAGATCCTGCCCTAAATTTAGGTTCCCCACACAAGGAGAAGAGAAAGATAGTATTTACCAGGAAGAGCCACCAGCCAAGTGCCCTACAGCACTGCGTTACCTTCACCCTATTCTCCACATTCACCCTTAGAAGGCTAAACATGGGGTGAGGGGTTTTAAAGCCACTAGGTAGGCTGTTCGGCTGTCTACCCAATCTGTCCTCTCTCTAAAGTAAAATCCCTCTAAATTGGCCCTTCCCCAGTTGGAAAGTTATGAAAGTTATGACAATATTCAAATATACAATTAGTATTTGAAACACCATTCTTTTTATATATATATATAT